GTACATCTATAATAATATATACATGTATATATTATTATTTTTTTCCAAAACATAAAAAATAGTCACAACTACTAAACATTGTATTCTGTAATTTATTAAATTCACCAACACATCTATAATGTCAATTCGAAACTTTATGGTATAAAAACATGCACGAATCTAAAAATAATAGTCGATCGCTTTCGTCTTTTATCTAACTTCTTCAATTATTTAGCTCAAACAAAGACTCCTTAAAGCTTTATAATAAATAAAGAAATGTGGTCAGGCGTTATTCTATATGTATATATCGGCCGCTCTCTATGTATAATTAAATTGTGTAATTATGTAAACATTGGGGGCGGCTAGCCGTAGCTCCATAATGACCTCCATTAGTGTTATGCAGCTTATAAAGCCGTCTCTTTAGGGGGAAAGTTTAAATAACAAATCATAGTTAAAACCCTACAAACTCACCAACAAGTCAACATCACTTTCCTCAATATTTTCTCATCATCACATTAGCCAACTACTCAAATTTTTTTAAAAAGATAACTTGTATTGTCAAGACCAAATACTAGTTATACTGAAGACTCCAAAATGAGTCAAGCACGGAAAAAAAAAAAAACACAAATTACTACAGAAAACAAAGAAGACATTTTTTAGCCACCAAATGAACTACCTTATTGTTTTGTTTGGCAACAAACAAAATACCAAACCTCGAGACATGACCAAACAGATGGTGATGCTATTCAAAGTTTCAAACACAGCCCAACCCCTACAATTCCAAGTACTGCAGGATATGATGATCTTATCAATACGACCTTTGCATCATCTCAAATCTCATCTAAAAGTGGCACCAACTCAACCGACGCATGATCAAGTAGACCATCATATACCTAGTGGCGAACCCAAAAAATCTATTTTAGTGGTGTCTCTTCCAAAAATTAAATTAAACACGGGTTGGATCAGGTCCTTAAGCCTCGTTGTTTAAGGAGGTTCTTAAACCATTTTTATTGGCTGATACTAGATTAGGTAGTTAATGAGGGTTAGTAGTTAATAGTTAGTTAGAATAATTAATATTACTCATTAATGATTCTCTTTCTCTCTCCTCCTTGATATTCTCCATAACCCTCTCTCTCCACTACAATTAAAAGGAAATTCGAAATTAATTTAATTAAATATTATTATTATTTAATATTTAATAAATTCGAACTTAATATTTTTTATTCTTTAAAATGAAAATTGAAAATTAATAATATGTGCTCTCTCTCTCACTTAGTGGCAACTTGCAATGCAGTATTAACATTTTGCAATGACATTATCGATTGATAAGATTGATATAGATTGATAAGAAGCAATGACATTATCAGTATTTATGAAATGAATCTTTATTATTATACCTCATCATTATTAATGACTTCAATATACTTATCAATGTCTTACAATTACATTATTAACAATTTTGGATCAATTGTTACTGTTTTATAGTTTCGTCATCAATGCCTATGAATGAATCATCAAAGTTATGTAACATGGTCATTAACAGTTGAATAACAATATCATTGATTTACAACATCTTTAGTACTAATGATTCACATTTTCACATCATGTTTATAACTATCTAGTCATGGTCTCTTCCAATGATTTCTAAACACAATACTTATTTTCAACATCTTGAGTACTTGTGACATAGTGCACCTATGTGATTCAGTCAAACAAACATTGTCAAGAAAAATATTAGCTCAAACAAACCAACATTCACGCCTCAACACCAAACTTTTAATAACAATACAATAAATCATTGATAACTTAAAGTATTTTGTTCAAAATAAACACAAAACATCAATGTAAAAATGTCCGACTTCAACATTATAAATGACATCAAGCTTTTAATAAAGATATTAAAAATCATTAATAACGAATGATCAAGCCACTGATAAGGAAATAGATTTTTGTTATGAATAAATATTAATAATATTCAGATACAATGTTTAATATCAAATAGCACTAAAAACGCATTAATAAGTAACATGTGTTTAATGGATAATGCATCCAAAATCTTTGATAATGATAGCAACTAATGATTGTTAAGTATCTTACTAGATATTATTAATATCTTATTTTTTTCAAACATTGATAATGCTTATATACACCTATTAATAATGACACCAACTACGTTTACTAACTTAGACTGAAAGATTAATAACCATAGTTATATCACTAAACGTAAACTCACTTTTGCTAATGTCATAAACAAACGAATACCTAACAAGTATGCTTCTTAATAATGACATTTGACAGAGTTACAAACATAAACGAAAAAATATTAATATTTCAAATCACTAAACATAAGCAATGTTACAAATGAAATAAATTTTTGCTAATGGTTGTATTGTGCTTGAAAAAAAACATTGATAATAGCACTTCAAATGATTATAAATCATTGCGAACCAAATTGATAATACGATGTAATGATAAATAAACTTCAAGTACCAACAAATTGAAAACACAATTTCACTTTTACTAATGTTACAAACAAAACATAATGTATAAAGTTAATAATGTCGTATAAAATTATTAAAAATATGTCGAACAACATTAATAATAACACAAACGAATACCTAACAACAAAAAATCCTAAACCCATGCAACGAAAAGCCCTAATGATGATTCAATTTATAAATATTGATAATGTCATTACAAAATGTTAACACTAATCGGAAGTTGCCAAGATGTGAGAGAGACATATATTTTAAATTTCAAATTTTCATTTTAGAAAATGAAAATTATTAAATTCGGATTTTATTAAATATTAAATAATATCAAATAAAATTAATTTCATATTTCTTTTTAATTATAATGTAGAGAGAGGGTTATGGAGAAAATAATGGGAGGAGAGAGAAAGAGAATCATTAATTAATTATATTTGCATAACCCCATTTACCCTTAACTACCTATTAACTACTAACTCCATTAACTACCTAATCCACTATCAGCCAATAGGAAGGTTTTAAGATTCTCCTTAAGAAATGAGGCTTAAGGACTTGAGCTCAAGCCCCAGAAATGACATAATTCTAATTGAGTAAAGTTCATGGTAAAAAATACTTTCTTTTTATTGCGTTTAGTACTTTAGTGGACAAATTAGTACTTTAATAGACAATCATAATTGCATTAGATTAATCCTCCTTCTCTCTCCAACCAATTGGGATTTGATAGATTTCTAATAAAATCTCATGTATCTCCAAAGAATCTCCAAGTACCTACTATATATACGCATACGTTTTATTTTATTATTATCATAAGATTGCATGCATAGTGCATACTTTAACAAAAAAAAATGCTTTCTTCTATTTCACAAAAATAAATAAAAACTTTCTTCGATCCACCAAAGTTTGGAGAGTTTTGGTTGCTTTTTTAAGCTTATAATACCCCAACACCTTACCAAACTTTAACTTTGGGTATTAGTATAGTTTGAAGCTTAAACATAGAGATAATTTTTGTTTGAATTTTAAAAAAAAATTAAAATGTTTATTTTTCAAAATAATTTGGCCTAATTTATTATGGGCCTCCAGTTGATCGTCAACTTGGAAGATCAATACGTACGTGGTTTCAAAATGATAACATCCTTCTAGCCGAGATTTCAAACAATTTGTCTCCTAAGTTGTTTTGTTTCATCTTTTGCACTGATTTTTGTTATCATTTAAAATTTATCCTTAATGTACTTTAAAAACGTTGCAAATCAAAATCAGTATACATGTATTCTAAAAAAAACATATATTTTAGCCATGCTTCGTAAATTATCCTTAATTTGTATGTCTTTAGATTTTTTTTATGAATCTACTATTCCTCATTCTTCTCTCTTTCTCTCCATGTATGAAAACAAGGGGAAGAGAATCAAACAAATGACAATTACAAAGAGGGGCAAAAGGCAAACAATAATTATGGAAGTTGGAAACCCAATTATCTCTTCCTCTTGATGTGTGGTAGTTGGAAGTTGGGTTTTATTTGGAAGTTTATTGTGCCATGTCCACATCCACTTTGGAACTTGTTCCAACACTTACTCTATACCTTCTTGCATTAGGCCCATGTCACCATGTGAAATCTCATAAATAAATAAATAAAAACACTCCTCAAAGGACTTAAAATGTTGTGGCTATGAGATTCATACTGCCCCATATTGAGATCTTGCTGCTTAACAAGCTAGTAATGTACATCCAAACACTTCCCATAATTCTCTTATAAGGACAGATTTTGATTATGTTGCTGACCAAACAATTAGGGGCGAGCAATGATCCGATTCGTATTAGATTACAAACTATCCCTAAACCGAACGTAATAGTACCAAATGTGTTTTTCTGGTCTGGTTCTATTCCTCACATTGCCCTCATTTTGGTTCTGATTCTGGCTCAGAAGACAATGCTCATCCATACAAACAACAAGATTCTTAAGGTAAATGACAAAACTTGACAGCAACGGTAGGAATGAACTTGAGCTTTCTTTGCAGCTGCTCACTTGTTTTTAGGATCATACCTAAACAATAATATCCTTCCTTCCCCCACTATCAGAAAAGGAAGAAGCAAAAGTCAAAACAGCAGTTGTTGCTGAAATAAAATGGAAATGAGTATAGAGAGAAAGATAAACAGATTTTGTTCATCAATTCTTGTTTGTTCTGTTCCAATCATATATGATGGCAGTAGGTCCCCCAATCCAAAAACAAGTTTGTGGGATCGTTATCAGAACATAGAAACAGTGCATATCTATGTTCTGATTATAAATCCTTTAGTACTTGCAACCAAAAAACCAAAGAGCATAATTATAATAATCACAATCATATACCTAATACCTATCTCTAATGTCACTTCCTATCATAATCACATTAAAAGAGGTTTCATCCAGAAGGAACCATCATTTGGGAGGAAGTGGTCAAGTTAAGAAAAAGTCATCCACAAAAAGCAAAACGGCATTCATGAACGAACTCACAAACAGAGAATCTTTGAGCTGGAAGAGAGGTGGAACCTCATGAACTAGATGCTAGGGATCGATTTCACTCGAATGAAGTGTTTAAGAACAGCCTTTTCTTCCTCGAGGCGCTTCTTCTCTTCCGAATCTTTCGGTTTGATCTTCCTTTTCTCTTCCAGCATCCATTTGAACAGTTCACGTTGCTGATTCTCAGGAATGGGTTCCCGAGGGATCACCACAGGTGCTGCCACGACAGTTGAGGGTAAGGTGGTTGCAGTATCTTCAACTTCATCTGTGTCTTTCTTCTTTGTTCTCATGAACAGGTAAGCTGCACCAAGTCATGGGACATAAATCATCAATTGTTTTAGTAGTTATGAAACCGCAACCATGTTAATGTCCATACTGCCAACAAATGAGAAAGCAAACACACAAAATGGAGAGAATATCCAAGGAAAAAAACAAAGAGGAGATCTACATGATTGCACAGAGTTGCATGACAGAGTAGCAAGTCCTGTATTGTTAATCTCAATTGTGAGTTGGAAGTAAGTAAAGCATCATTCTCTTGGCGCCCACCAGTACATGTTCCCATTGCTGCCAACTACTTCATAATCCATTGCTGCAATATGCAGCAATAATTTCATGGATTGAAGTCTTTTTTTTTTCTTGGCAATTACTAGCAGCCAATGGGAAGCTCCTAAGGGAGTTGGTGTGTGGAAACCCCCTCTGGAGAATCCGGAGTGGTTTCATTGACGGCTACAGGAAGTTCAGATCAACTAAATTCTTTAGTTGCAATGAGGAAGAAAGCATCCTTCTAGAAACGGCTGTTACAATATGTTCATATATGAAAGTAAATTAAAATGACTGCTTCGTTTTCCCAAACCCGTACAGAACAGGAAACACGAAGACGTCTACTAATGCTACTTTTGAGGAGGTCAGAGAATAGCACTGACACTCAATGAGGAAATTGTTTTCTGTCCTCTGCCAGGGCTCGAGTTCGACGATATTTCAGAAAAAAAGCATAAATGAGCCAGTAATCTTTGTACTTTGAATAGTGGACATAACTACGACGCCTACAGAGAATCTCGTCGATCTTTTTCAAGATGAAGCTGATAGACCTAATAAGCTATATATGGTGCGTACACAAGAACCTCCTGAACCTAGTCCATCCATGATCCATCCCATTAATTTTTAAGAAAAAGTTCAACAGATATGTTAATGATAGTACAGTTACAACTACGGTTCACAAATAAAGCAGAGTTGATGGGAAATGTGTAATCTCCTATCACAGATAAACCAGCAGGACCCGAGGTAGTGGGAGTTTGTTTCTTATAAAATGTAATGAAAACAACATACAGTGACGAGTTAATCATTAAATAGAGACCTTAAGCAACTCAGGTTTAGTATGGAAGACGTTCTATATACCCAGGAATTCTTTAATTTCATGGCTAGTGTAATTGAATAGAATTGGTACCATGGATAAGGTGAAAAGATGGAAACCTGATCTGGATACTAATTGTCCTCTATGTCATTCAGATTCACAGTCTAGAGAACACATATTTTTCCAGTGTGAGTTTGTGCAGAGGGTGCTAGAAGTCTGCTTCCCAAGTAACTGGAACTACAGGCCAAAAGCTGGATGGCAGAAAGGTATGATGGATGCTGTGAAATGCTTTAAGAACTGTAAATTGGTAGGCTGGTGTGGAATCTGGTTATCAGTGAGGTGTGGCGTGAGAGATGTAGGAGGGTTCATGAGAACAAAAACTTGTCTGTTTATGGAGCTGGCACACAAAATGCAGAAGGTGTCGGAGAAAGCTACCGATCAGAAGAAACTCTGGTTCCGGGAATAAAGCATAGTTATGTTGTTATGTGTACATGTGTGTCACAGTTAGTTGGTTTCAAAGTTAAAACATATTAGGGGAGGATATGTAACCTTGCTCTTGGTTGAGCATTTGATGAAATAAAATCTTGCTTTTCATAAAATAAAATTATTAATCTCTCCGTCGAAAACAAAAACCCAAAATCAGAGCCAGAAGACGACCTATTAAGAAAGATAATCTACGCCACCCTCAGCAGTTACTAGCCATCTCAGGTCGTCAACACTAGCATTCAGCATTATGATAACCAAGTCAATCTTATGTCCTTATAACTTCTCCCTAAAGTTGTTCGGGATTTCAGCAATGACAGAGAGGTCGTATATCTACAAAATGCCCTCGCAATCTTAAGAACAATTATCAAAAGAAATCTATTACCACAACTTATCCATTGAACAAATCACATTGAAGTAAGATTACCGTCTCCTGCATATAGTTTCTATCTAGACAAGCATTGTCATTAGGCATTAGCCAATGCAGTTATCAATATCTCTGAGAAACCACCACCCTTAAGCAGTTATAGCAAGGGCATTGAACACTCAAGCAAAATGGAGGGAAAGACTACTTAATGCAAGAGCCAGTCTCAAGGAGCATCTGAGATTATCTCTAAAGAAAAGATTGAGAGTCAGAACATCATATCAACTATAGAAACAGACTGGAAATAAACTGACACTCCACCCTACTCTACTCAAGAATGGGAAGCATTAAAAGCAGAAGCAAAATTCATTACGCAGGAAAGGGGACAAGCAAAGGGAAGAGGGAAATAATGACCTCCAACAGAGAAATTGACAGCCAAAAGAAGGGGCCACATGAACTTGTAACGCTTAGCAAAGGACTCCCTTGGAGGCTGAGAGGATGGCGGAGGTGGTGGAGGAGGGGTCGTCGGCGGCTGAGAACCGCCGCCCATCTTGTACGACGCTGCAGCAGCTGATGCCGGGGCTGCAGGGGTTGCTGCTGGTGGAGACAAGTTTGTCACTTTCTTCTGTCCCTGGACTTGCTTCAGCTGAGCTGCTCTCGCAGTGAAAACGGGGGATCAAACCAGACACATCAATCAAATTGAAACTAACCCATTTCTTCAAATGAATGAAATCATGAAACCCAAAAGAAAGAAGCAGTTTCGGACGGAGAGTCGCTTTCGGATTGAGCTATCTGCAATCAATTCTATTTTTTACCTTTCTTTGGCTTGTTGGTGTAGAGCTTTGGACCAGCTTCGCTCATTGTTTCCGTCAAAAGATCGATCGTAGCTTTCTGTTCTGATTGACTGTCTAGTACTGCAATCGAAACTTCGAGATGATGGATCTCTCACTTTGGATTGATTTGGTACGCCGCCCGTCGGTGTTGGATTCTTTGCTGCTCCCTTGCTCCTGATCTCCGTAATTTTCTTTCTGGTTAGGGATGAAATCATCAAGGTTGTCAACCGGTTTGGAAAATTGGCATGGTTGAGTGGGTTAAGGACTGGATTACTGGTTGGGTTGGTTGAACTCAGCATAAGTCTAAACGACCCATCCAAATGACTCCTATCTACTTTTTTTTTTTATTTGATTTATAACCCAGGGAACCTCAGCTCCACGTGTCGCTTGAGCGACAACGGGGCCTACTAAACCACTGGGGGTACCTACATACTAATCGGGGCTATCTGCTACCAACATCGGGGAGGCTTCGCCTCCGATACCAAGAATGCCGCCAGGAACGCTCAAGTGGCGCCACTGGGAATCGAACTCAGGACCTTCCACATCCAGAGCTCAATTGGTCCAGTGGTTTCACCACTAGGCTATGTTACCTTTGGCCTAATCTACTGTATTGTGATTTGTGAGTTGGTAGAAGTTTTTTTTAACTCAAAACGATTACATTGAAATCAAATACCAGCCTCTTTGACAATTACATCAGTAATTTGGGCAGGGTAACAGCCTTTCCACAATCTGTCTCTAACAACAGGAGAAGGAAAAAAGTGTGCTAGGAGCTGAACAACCATATTTGCTTCTCTAAACACAAATCTCCAATCCAGAACATCAGTCTCCAAGCCTAACAAAGTAATGCCTCTACACACATTGTCGATTTCTATTCCGTTATCTTCTTTGCCCTTTAGGATATTGATCAACTTTTTGCAATTAGATTCCACTTGGATGGTTCTTATTCCCAACTACTTTACTTTTTGCAACCCGAACTGCAAAGTCATCCCTTCTGCGAGATCAGGGGGCAATTTGCTTTGAGCATTCTACTGAATGCCACTTTCAGATTTCCATACAAGTCACGAATAATACATCCCATTCCTACCTCCCCTTTGCCACTGCAACCCGCATCAGAGTTCAGCTTATAGATCCCCTTCAGGGGGCTTTTATCATTTGCAATTCCTCCTGTCAGCGCCTCTGTTAATGGTATTTTCCTTCCGCGAAACAACCATGAAATCCTATTTGAAATCGTCAGCTTTTGTGAACACTCCACTCTTGCAGCATCTTATTATTGAATAAACAATTGTTTCTTTCCTTCCAGAAAATCCTAAAAAGCGAGCAGAATCTTTCGATATCCCCTTCTTTCACCTCCTTAACCACCTTGAATATCCATTCCTTGCAAGAGAGATTTGAAGCCGAATATAATAGGTCTCCAACTGGAGTCTTAGACCAAATTCTACCCACCCAGCAGCAGTCCACGAGACAATGCTTCAGAGATTCCTTCATGCCACAGTTTTAACTGTATACTTCTCGCTCTCAATGCCAGACCAGCATAGAACATCCCTTTCAATGACAGGAGATAAAGCGAGATCCATAATGGTCTGTTGTTCTTCTTGTGTGAAAATAATCTCTATCAAGTCTCTTCTCCACGTTCTAGTTTCTTGGTCAACGAGACAGGAGACTTTAGAGTCCCAGTCCATAAAAGAACTAGTCCAAATGTACACCTCCTCTCCTGAGCCAATCTTCCATTTACAACCCGATTTCAGGAGCTCCTGGTCCCCATAAGACTTCTCCGGATATAGCTCGGTCTCCAACCCATGTTTGCTTCGAGGATACTGCATTTCATATGGTATTTTGCCTTAAGCAATCTAGCAATAAGTGATTGAGGATTGAGATTCAGGTTCCAGAGCTGCTTTGCAAGGATAGTTGTGTTAAAATTTTTGAGGTTCCTAAACCCCATTCCCCTCTGTTCTTTCCTCCTACATAGCTTGGTAGAAGTTATTTCAACTCCCAATAATTTGTGATTTCTTCTAATAACTCTAAAATTAAATGTACTAACATTATAGCAAATTAGCAATATACAAATGGATGACTTCTTAAGAAGTCACCATGATGCATTAATACAAAATTGTACGGAGCCAATTTAGCCTAGGCCTTCTTGTCCTAGGCTCATCCATGTGCTTTTTGCAGATGATACTATTATCTTTGGAAAGGCATCCATGAATGAAGCACTGCTCATCAAAGAAACTATTACAAATTATGGGATTCTCACTGGGCAGGTCATCAACAATGAAAAGTCTGCTATTACATTCAGCAAGAACACTCCAACGACCCTTAACCATCTAATTGCTGAATGTATGAATATTCCAACATCTGATGGAATGGGGAAATACCTGGGGGTCCCGTCTGAATGGGGACGCTCTAAAAAGGAGGTATTCTCGGAATTAATCTCGCGTATGGAAAGACTTTGTCAATCCTGGAAAAGCTTGGCCCTCTCTCCAGCGGGAAAGGAGACTCTTTTGAAAGCCGTCTTTCAAAGCTACCCAACCTATTTGATGTCATGATTTCTTCTCCCCAAGGGAACCACAAATAAAATGAACTCAAGACTTACAACCTTCTTTTTTTGTGTGTGTGTGTGTATGGGGGGGGGGGGGGGAAGCCATGACAAAAGAACCATCCACTGGCGCAAAGCAAGTGTGCCGACTGCTGCTAAACAGGATGGAGGAATGGGGTTCAAAGATTTCCACCAATTTAATTTGGCTCTCCTTGCCAAACAAGGATGGAGAATTCTTAACGGAAAGGGTGAGACGTGGATCCATCTTCTTAATGGACTTTATTTCCCTAACTCGGACTTTCTGACTGCAGGTAAAGTGATAGGGCAAAAGCGTAATGCTTAAATTCCTATCTCGTAGTAAACCGAAAAGTCCGGGTATCGTCTCTCAGGGACTGGTACAACCTTATATTCTATCAAATTTATGAGCAAACTATAAGTGAAAATAGTTTAATGAGACTAATTTCTAAAAGCAAAATAAAATAAACAAATTAACTAAGTGTAAACTGTCGGGAGAAATTCAATGGGAGAAAGCTCTGGGAGAAACACCGGGACTCACTACCTATCATATCCAGATTAATTCACATATTCCAATCAATTTAATCCAATTCTCTACAGCCAGGATATCACTAATGTGCTAGCTATCCCTGTCGGGAATTACTACGTACTAAATAATCAATTCAAATCCTACTGTCGTAGCTCAATGAATTAACTATATAGCCTGAAGATCGATATCCTATTTAAGACCGCATAGCACCTTATTTAATCCACTGTCGCTTCGATAAGTTACTATGTCACATGAAAAATGTTCAGTTATTAGGGTTTCACTGTCGCTAATAACCTAATTAACTACAAATCGTTGTATTGGTGGCCAGTCAACCCAAAGCATTAAGTAATTTCATGCAATAGAGATTGAAAGAAAAGAATCATGAATCAATTCATCAAATCAGGAAATAGTTACATCCTATGGTGTTTCCCCCAGAAATTGGGGTTTAGTTCATGATGAAATTAAGATAAATCGATAGGGTTTTGTTCATCATGCTCTAAATCAACAATACACAACTAGTTCGGTTCAGAAAATCCAACCAACTAATCGCTCTCGTTGAACTCAGCTCAGGTAGCCTTGAAATCTCAATCGCCGATTGAGAATCGCCGAGTCGCCTTTGCTGGGTGCTCCGTGCGCTGCGCCCTTCCTTTTCTCCCCAAGAATTCGCCGCCAAAGAGATGTCCGCTCCCCCTCCTTTCTTTTCCCCTCGCTGCCTTTTTCAAGAAGAATCCCCGTCCCCAACTTTAATTCAAGCCTCCGTAAAAATCCCCCCCAGCAGCCTTTCTTTTCTCCAAAGCAAAAATCCTTTTCCCTTAGAGAATTCCCCTCGTCCAGTTAATTGGACTTCCGTCCAAAAATTAGCCTCACTTCAATTCCCGGGCCCAATTGTTTCGCCTCTTGTCTTCTCGGTCCAATAAGAAATCCCCATCCAGCTGTGCTTAAAGAAATGTTTGCCGGTGCAACTTCTTTTTCGTGTTTTCTTCGCCTGTAATACATCAAACTCATAGCACTAGGCAATAACGGTTTTTCAACCATTCTCGGGTTAGCGAGCCCTAAAATAGCACCAATTGGCTAAAACATACCATGAATAATCACATAAAGTCCAAGAATCCGATATATTAAAGCCGAATATCACAACCCCACACTCAATTGTTGCTTGTCCCTAAGCAACGACTCAAACAACAAAAACACATAATCATCCAAAACAATGACACATTACAGACTCAACACTCAAAGCAAAACACAAAATTTCCTTGTACTCTTGTTGTAATCAGTAGTTTCTTTCTCAAAGAACAAGTTGTGCTTTAATGATCATACCTTTCACCCCACACTCAAGTTCTTTGCAACCATTTCCATTGACTGACTCAAATCCATCAAAAACTCAAATAGCAACACTCAATTTTGATCGTCGGTAGTGGGTGATTAACAACTTATGGTGCAACAATTATTAGGAGAATCTAACCACATCAGTGAGGTGCATATCTCGTGAGGACAATTTGGCTTACTCACACCAATCATAAGCAATTAATTAAGCATGAGTCTCAAAAACTAATGGGGGAAGCCTTTCGCAAACATGATTTTAACTTTAAGCACATCACTACCTTTTATGACAAGGAGAGACTTTCTCTCCTTCTGTTTTTGCTTGCCGAGAAGTCGTATTTAGTACAAGTGGGATTTGTTTCTTACTACCGGTGACCGAGCAAGAGCAATTTCTGCTTCTTAGCACTCGCATAAGGGCTTCTTTCAACTCCTTTTCCTCGGTCCGTGTGGAGGGTCATTGTTCATCCTCTAATGGCACTTCACTCAACTGGGGATCGTACTTGATAAGCAACATCGTACGGTCGCGAACCGATTCTCAATTGAATCTTTCCTAATCCCCATGTGCAATGAGTGATTGCCTCACACGATTTTGGCATTTTTACCCACACTTTAATTGTTATGGCAACTTTCT